AAGTATGCTTTTGACAGTGTGTTTAATGATGTTTTGAAATTGTGTTTAATGATGTTTTGACATTGTGTTTAAATGGTATTTGAGGCTGACAACTTCAGGATAAGGCAGACGTTTAAATCCCACTTACACACAAAAAACTCTTCATCATTTCCAAGAGTTCACACTCAGCTGATGATTGATAATACAGCTTGTTTGGCATGCTGTCCCAGGAGAGAGCCCTGAACCTATGAGATCCTCGAGCCTTGGGCTCCCTCCCATTTGCAGGACGAGAGGGGAGTTTGAGCTCAGGTAGATCTCGATGAACTCCCCTGAGCTTGACTGTGGTATCAATTGGTATGTTCAATTTACTTAGACTGCATGTTTTTGGACTGCTGGAGGAAACTGGAGAAACCAGGGAAAACCCACACGAGCACGGGGAGAATGAGCAAAGTCTGCGCAAAAATGTCAACTGGTTTTGAAGGGACTTTAACCAGAGACATTCTTGCTATGAGGCAACAGAGCTGATCCCTGCGCTGTCACCCATCTGGAAAGGAGGGGGAGTAGGGGTGGGTAGGGGGGATTCTTCAAGATGAAGATACTGAGTTAAGAAAAGCTGGTTATTTATAGTGAGTTAGGAATCATCTAATTGGTGAGTCAATGATAAGCTGGTGCAGGACCAGCCGTGAACAATCATAAGCATGTGATCATCGCAAAATTAGTTCATATATAAACTTCACTTAAATCTTATCTATGCCAACAGGCCATAAGTCCCTCTCACTATTGCTGTCTTCCAGCCACCAAAGCACAGACGCCACAAGTGTTGTTCCACACAAGTGGCAAATCTGAAGCTAATACCAGCCGACAATGAAAAGAACTAAAGCCTTAGCGAAATCTGTCAAAATACAGCACTGGAAGAAACGGGTATAAATGTCTTTCAGACAAAAATCTAGTTAGGAAGATGTGTAAAAACACAACCAGAGCCTATCAGTTTTATGTGCAAGTAGCATACATTTACAGTACATTAAGCAAACCCTTTTGTCTCATGTTACTTACAATTGAGGAGGCATTCAGCGATTCAACAAGAAGAGGCAAAACACACCAAAAGTGATAATCATACAAAGGAACTGTCAGTGCTCAAAGAAGTAAGTGCTAGTTAGAGTTTGGAGTTTTTTTTTTTTTTTTTTTTAAGAGAGGAGTGATTCTACAGATGGTTTGTCAAGCCCTCTCACCACTTCTTAAATGCATGTTTTTTTATATGGAGTTATTACAGGAATGTGTCTGGTGCAAATTTGCTGGTGCAGGTGTTTGATAAAGTGTCAGAGTCATAAAGTGTGTTTTCTATAGGTGGTTTGTACAGCCCACTCTCCTGTGTGAGGCACACTCAAAATTGATCATGTTTTGGGGTTGATGTGTGGGGAAGTGGGGAGAGAGGAGGGGGCCCTTATTTTCTGTTCAGGTGATCTCGGAAGAGTTGGGTTTTTACTTGTTGTTTTAATACCAGTGAATCTGCAGTCTGTGTGGGAATATTGAAGGAAGAGGTTTTATAAAGTGACTTATAGCCTCTTTGTGATGGTACCACAAGGTAGCGCTCACTCACTAATCAAAGGCCCCTGGATGGTATGTAGACCTTCAGCAGCAGGTAGAGGTAAGAGGATGCAGTAACAGTGGCTGTCCTGTAAGCAAGCATCAGTGATTTGAACTTGACACAAGCCTCTTATGGTAACCAATACAGAGAGGTAATGAGAGGTGGTACACTTCAGTTGGGCTCACTGAAGACCTGATGAAGAATCTGATGATTCACCATATCCAAAGCAGCAGACGGGTCCAGTGAAAGCAGAAATGATTATTTAGAATCTGCTTGGGCAATGAGGTTACCCAGGCCTGCTTAGAGATGGTTGGGAATGTGCCAGAGTGGAGTGAAGTGTTTATGGTGTGGGTTAGGGCCGGCACTATGGTTAGGGAAATGTTCTGGAGGATGTGTGAGAGAATTGGATCTAGAGGTGGAAACAAAATGCAATGTCCCCACAACGTTGGAGTACAACGTCAATCTAACGTCATGTTGATGTCTTGTGTCTGCTGGATGTTGAAGGCCATTTAGGTCATCATACAGCAATCATCCGCCATCTTTCCATAAGTGACATCATCTAAACGGTCTCTGGGTCAATGTGTGTAAATATTTTGGACATCTTCTTGGACAGTTTTAATGCTTCCAAATAGTTTGATGTAATTCTAAATCGCCCATGTCTTGAGGGAGTTCATAATGATGTGATTTACCTTCAATATGTGATCTGATTGGATTGGGTATCCCCCATAGACAAAAGAAAATAATGTAGTGATTGCAGGTTGAAGGACAGTAGTGGAGTAAAAGTACCGATACTGCACTAATAATGTACTCAAGGTAAAGTAAAATTACATATATATATATATATATATATATATATATATATATATATATATATATATATATATATATATATATATATATAATAACTTAGTTAATTACAATATTTAAAGAAAAAATACTTAATTACAGTAGTTTGAGTATTTGTAATTGTTTACATCACTGGTTGTGACAGGATTTTATAGGTTTTTAAGCTCATATGACTGTATGGAGCAGGAGGTATGGCAGACCTTTTAATTTCTGGTTAATCACTAAGAGTAGCAAGTTGTGTGGAAATAACTAAATAAACTTAGTACAAGTGAGCAGGAGGCAACCAGACTGTGAGGTATTAGTTACCTCTGCATCCTCTGACTAACTTCAGAGCATTGAGATCAAGTCTGTGAGAAACACGTAAACCCTGGACATGAAACTCTAAGTGACATTTGGTCCCAATTTGAATGTATAATTGAAGAGTATAGGAGCAGATATAAATCAAAAGTGTAAATTCATTCATAAACGACAAATGTGACCTGTTTATAATCAGAAATAGACAAAATTCAATTGACACTTAACATTGGAGTCAGATTAAATTCAGAGAAGAAAACAAAGATTCCAGAAGCACTAGAAAAAGCTTACAGGCATTTACCCTTCAGCCATTCACCAGATTACATTGTAGCAGTGTTTATCAAACCTCAAAAGACCAAAGCCGCTATCGATATCAACCAAAAGCAAAACATTACTGTTTAAAATAATCCAGTATCATTGCATATCGAAATATCTATATTTTTGACAACACTACTGCAGGTATATCCTGAAATATTAATGACTGTGGACGAGTCCTCAAAACAACACCCAAACCACTGCAGCTGAAAATATTCATACTGTTTCTCTAAACACAAATGTATTAATAGAATATTTCAAGAAGATATAAAAGGTATTTGAGATTAAATCTGAGAGGTCTTTTAAAATACTCAAAGCAGTATTGAACCTATAAAATAAGATTAAATAGTTTGTCATGATATTTTTATTTATTTAGTTAGTACTAAAAGCATCAAGCTGGCAGTTAAGAGTTAAATGCAGATTGTATAAGGAACATCAGCTTGTTGTTTTTCAGCAGTTTCTTCCTGTTCAACTGGAACATCTGGTTTAACTTTACTTTCGAGTTTGAGACTCTCAATGTTTAAAATTATGTTTTGTGCTGAATGCTCTGAAATGATCAAGTCACCCTGATATAGAAGAGCACAAACATTTTCACGGGATTAAAATTAAAGTTTTTTTGACACAAAGTTTAAATTACTGTTTTGACAAAAATCAAAAGTTTTTTTAATCAAAAGTTTGAGGCTTTGATCTTCAGGATCAGACATTTAAATCACACTCACACATATAAACCCTTCATCATCTCCACAAATCAGCATAATGTAGAAATATTAAACTTACAAGCAGAAGTAGAGACGCTCTTGTGCAGCAGGAACACAATCTGAGCTCTTTCACTTCACTAAAACACACCTGTGTGATCTACAGGTAGATCCTGAAACATTATTGACTCCCCAGAGTAGCGCTGACATGAATATTCATGATATTCTCCTGACTGTGGGCGTGTCTTCAAGACAACACACAAACCACTGGAGCTTAAAATATGTGTGAACATGAATGGTTTTTTATGTTTTTTAGTACAGCCTAAGAAAACAATTCTGTTAATGCATGTCATATATATATATATATAGTGCAACAGAAATATATACTTCTGGAGCTTTTCAGACATGTAAAACATGTTACATATGGCTGTTGTATTTTGTTGTCTATTTTTAAACACTTAAAATTGTGTTATTTAGTATTTATTTTCCAATACATTTCAATTTATTTTAGTCCAACCCTGTTTCAGCTGTAGTTTAAAATGTCTTGAGGAAATAGTTTGCTCTTTTCACATTCCTCCTGCCAATCACACTCAATGCTGCAGTTTGTAATACAATGCATTTTTATTATTAAATATTACTGCAGTTCATATCAAATGTCACTAATTGCACAATAACACTAACACAATAATTTAAAGATGCTACGTAAATCCGTCTACAGAGCAACGACCAAGTTTTCAAGTGTAAGCTGTAAAACTTAACATTGCAGTGAAATCTATTTGCTCTAGCGTAAATAACAGATAAGTGACCAAACACTGCCTTTAGATATAGCCTAAACACATTACACTACACAACAGACTACTGTACAGACACACATCCAAATCTTCAATAAGTGTCTGCGGTGTCCTGACGTTGTATCCCACCCATCAGATTATACGCCCAACACTGTATTTGAATGGCTCTGAGGTTGGGGGATTAGGGTGACATTATAGCTTCATACTACACTACTCCACATTAAATCTACACTGGTGGCAAAATCAGATGGGTATCATATTGCATCATCAAAATGTGCTGCCTAGCTTTTGAATGGGAGGTAGGACAATCTGACAAGGTAGGCAACCGACATGCTAGAAGTCCCACTTCCAAAATCTTCTAAACACATTTTATAATAGACGCTGTACCTGTAAATAAACAGCATATTTACAGTCTAAGCAACTACATTACCGCCTAAAAGTATCAAATATACATTGTGGTCTAACAGCGGCGGAAATTGTCAAACTATAGTGACTCTAGTCCTCTGTTTGGTACTTGCTGCGGGCGGAGTGATACACTGATGAAGAGGGTAGATCAGCAGTATATTTCTGAAATTGTTTAAACTTATATAATGTTTTGATGTGGGTGACACAGTGGTTCAGCGCCTCACAGCAGGAAGGTCGCTGGTTTGAGACATTCCTGTGTGGAGTATGTATGTTCTTCCATTGTTATCATTGGTTTCCCTGACAGTCCAAACACGTGGTACAGGGGAATTGGATGATCTTAATTGGGTTTAGAGAGTGTATGGGTGTTTCCCAGAACTGGGTTGCGGCTTGCAGGGCATCAGCTGTTTGAAATAGATGCTGGGATAGTTGATGCTTCATTCTTTTGTGGCAACCCCTGATAAATAAGGGACTAAGCTGAAGGAAAATTATTGAATGAATGCTTTTCAGGTTCCTTTGGTGCATGAGAGTCTTTTGTTTAGAGCAGGGATGTCCAAACTTGGTCTTGGAGAGCCGGTGTTCTGCAGATTTTAGCTCCAACTTGCCTCGACACACCTGCAAGTATGTTTCTAGACTGCCTAGTAAGAGCTTGATTAGCTAGCCCAGGTGTGTTTGATTGGGGTTGGAACTAAACTTTGCAGGACACCGGTGCTCCATGACCGGGTTTGGACATGCCTGGTTTAGAGGGACACTTTTCCTTTGCGCTTCATGAAAGGGTTCTCTCTCTGCTGAGGGTATCCATGATTATTAATTAGACTGCGGCCTGCTTTTTACAGTAGGTGGATTTTTGTGTGCCTCCTTAAGCTTCTTGTACACGTGAAGCCCTTTCCATACTTGGAGCAGCGATAAGGCCTCTCTCCGGTGTGAACTCTCATGTGCCTTTTAATGTCTTCTTTCCGATAGGAGGTCTTCCCGCAAAGTTCACAACTGTAAGGTTTCTCCCCACTGTGAACTTTCGCGTGGGTATTAAGGTGTGCTTTTCGGATGAAACTCTTTCCGCAATCTTGGCAGGTGTACGGTTTCTCTCCGGTGTGAACCCTTATGTGGATATCAAGGTATGCTTTTCGAAAGCAGCTTTTCCCGCAATGTTGGCAGATGTGCGGCTTCTCTCCGGTGTGAATTATCATGTGCTCTTTAAGACTTGCATTCCGGATGAAACGCTTCCCGCACTGTTGACAGGTGTAAGGTCTTTCCTTAGAGTAGTTTCTCATGTGAACTTCGAGGTTTTCTTTTGTTGAGAACGTTTTTCCACACTGACGACACATTAAAGGCACCAGTTCGATGTGGGTTTTTACATGTTTCTTCAGTTGAGCGCTTCTTCTGAAACGCACTCCGCAGTGATGGCACATAAAACTGTTCTCATTTGCATGAACATTCATGTGGTATTTAAGGTTACTCCGACTTGTGTAGCTCTTCCCACACTGATCACACGCAAATGGTTTTTCTCCAGTGTGACTCCTCATGTGGGCGATACATATCGATTCGTCTGCAAGACTCTTTCCGCATTGAGGGCACGTGTGAGAAGTCTCTATAGTGTGAACTCTCATGTGTCGTTTAAGGTAGTCTTTATGATTGAAAGATTTGCCACACTGTTGGGAGGTCAAAGCGTTTTTTGCGATATGAATTTTGATGTGGTTTCTGAGGTTTGACTTTTGAGTGAAACCTTTTCCACACTGTTGGCAGGTGAAAGAGCTCTCTCCATTGTGAGTCCTCATGTGGTTTCTGAGGTGTCCTTTTTTAGTGAAACCTCTTCCGCACTGGTCGCATTTGGGAGGATGTGCGGTCTTTGTTTTTTGAGCAGCCTTTTGTGAGCTCATCATAGTCTGCGAGCAAATGAATTCACTTTCTGTAGGTATGTAGTCGTTATGTTTCTCAATCAGATATTCTTGAATCTCCCTTTTCAGTGGCATCAGGTCTGAGGAGAGAAAGACAAAACACTTAATCAATGTCTTCAAGGAGGTTTCCTAACTCAAAAGTGATTGTTACCTTAAACCAAGGGTCACCAGACTTGGTTCGGCAGTGTTTAGTTTAACCTGCCTCAACACACTAGTATGGAACCTACAAGTATACCTATTAAGACTTTGATTAGCTCTTTCAGGGGTGTTTGATTAGGGTTGAAGCTAAACTCTGCATGACACTGTCCTTCCAGGACCAAATTAGGTGACCCCTGACTTAAACCATGAAGATTAAAAGAACCACTTTTCTTGAGGAAAAAAAGCTGTCGAACTTTACCAATATAGACTAAATGGCAAAAAAAGATAATCACATATGGAAAAAAAATCAAAATCCAAAAATTTACATGGTCACTAGGGCGCCAGTAGTTAAGTAACATTATGTTAACCCTAGCCATTTTACAAAAAACTGGAGGCACTCGTAAGCTTGTTGCCCAGGGGCACCATGAGGTCTTGATATGCTTCTTGCACCAATAACCTAGTGCAGGGGTCACCAATCTCGTTCCTGGAGGTCCGGTGCCCTGCAGGGCTTAACTTTAACTTGTCTCAGCATACCTGTTTGGGTGTTTTAAGTATACCTAGTAAGACCTTGATTAGCTTATTCAGGTGTGTTTGATTAGGGTTGGAGCTAAAATCTGCAGGACACCGGCCCCCCAGGAACAAGTTTGGTGGTCCCTGGCCTAGTGGTTAAGAGCATTGACATTTGGTACCGAAATGCTCATGGTGACCAGAGTTCGATTCCTGGCTGCAGGTCTTTTGACGATCCTTCCCAGCTCTCTCAGCCTCATGCATGTCCTGTCTCCACTCCACTGACCTATCTAATAAAGATTAAGAACCACTAAAATATATTAATAAAAAGTTCTTATATAGGGATTTTTGACAGCTGAAGGTTTGAGAGTTGTGCTTTGTCAATGCTACGCTGTCATATATTTGCACAGCACTGTGATGTAATACAAAAATTCTGAAACAGAAGATTGTACTCTCTCCTCATTGCCTGTGTTTTCATCTATGACTACAGTATATTTACCCCTGCCACAGTGAAAAAACAAGCCTTAACACTCTTGAGCACATTTGTAGGACTCTGTTGAGTCAAGTTGAGCAGAATTCTGTATTAAAGGTCAAGGTGTTTAAAGAGATCATCTTAGGAGAGTTGGTCATGAACTTGTACTGTCAGTACCAAGGAGTATCTGAGTGGAATACATAAGGCAAGAGTAAGCAAGTTTTTGGTCAAGGAGAGCCAAAATCCAGCAGAACCTTTAGCATGCACACCTAAACAATCCAATCAAGATCTGAGTATTGCTAGTAAGCTACAGACAGGTGCTTCTTTTTTCTCAAGGCTAGATAGTGGCACTACAAAACCGAACATGGCTACCCCCATAGCCCAACACAACTCTACATTTGATCGAAAGGGGCCATACTGATTCTTAGAGACCAGAAAAAATGACCAAGATTTAACATTTAACCAAAAAGACATTATTACATATAAATATTATAACATGTTGGGTCATGTGTTGCACACATTAGCTGTAGATGAAATGTACATGTTGTCCATTGGATATTACTAATAAGCATACTTTTAAAAAACTACTAAGACACACTTTACCTACATAATCAAAGGTGAAATTGCCTTACAAAAAGTAGCAAGATCATCAAGTACAAGTCACAAAGTTTTATTTAAAAGGGAATGACACAGAACTGGAAGAATAAGTAGGCAAAAATGTTGTTTTTTTCTGACAGAATCTAAATCCTCCATTTTCAGTACAAAACCTTTACACACATAATTTGAAATGACTAATAAACAGTCTGGTATTTCATACCAGATATTATATACAATATTATTTCATAATATTACATATATTTACAAGGTCATCAGTGTTGTCACTATGGTTGGTGACAATCAAATTCTAGATGAGGGTTTAAAAACTGCCCCATATGATTTACCGGGCGCAAATATAAAGTCAAAACATATATTTTTTGACAACTGTACTATTTGGATTATTTGAACATCCAAAAAACAGGTGTGTTGTTTTCTTGAAAGTTCTATGATGGAGAACAGGACAAGAAAAACAGTAAATTCTAAAGGTTTAGTACAACTTCATTTAAGGAAATGAAGATGGATTTTTTTTTTGGTTAACTAAATGCCATAAAACATGAAAACGTTGGTTTTTTCTTCTCTTTCTAAAATTAGATAAAACTTTCTTGTCGCTGTCTAGAATCAGATGCTCAAAAAGGGCTGCAATGAACTCCTGAATGCTCAAGTGAAGAAAGCAGTACATGGTACCAAGAATGATTCCCGTCTCCTCCTTAAAGATCTGGGTACACATGCCTGAGTACACCGATGCCTTATAGACGTCAATGCCACAGTCTTGCAGATCGCTCTCATAGAAGATCACATTGTTTCTTTCCAGCTGCTGGAAGGCCAGTTTCCCCAGTGAAAGGATGAGCTTTGGATCCCAGGAGACATCTGCTGTGTTTTCTCCATCATACTTTCTTCTGCTCTGCTGGATCTGAAAGCGGAGAAAGTGTGTGTACATCTGTGTCAGAGTCTTGGGAGATTCCTGCAGTGTTTCAGCATGAGCCCTGTGTTTCAGTTTCAGTATGTTCTGGAGAACAGTGGCTAAAATCCAGCAGAAGACTGGGATGTGGCACATAATAAAGAGACTCTTTGACTGTTTAATGTGATCAATGATTTCTCTGGCCTGATACTGATCTGGGAGTCTCTTTCTGAAGTACTCCTCCTTTTGGGCATCATTAAATCCTCGTATCTCTGTCAGCCGGTCGATACAGTCAGCAGGAATCTTACTGGCAGCTGCTGGTCTGCTGGTGATCCAGATGAGAGCGGAAGGAAGCAGATTTCCCTTGATGAGGTTCGTCAGGAGAACATCCAGAGAGACTGCTGAAGATACATCACCACACGTCTCATTACCAGCAAAGTTCAGAGGAATCCATCAAGGATGAACAGGACTTTGAATCGTGTGCTTCTTGTAAGGTTCAGTCCTTTAGTCTTTGGGAAAAACTGAGTTATGAGGTCTTTTAAACTTTGTCTTTCTTTCTCCTTTAAGTTCATCTCTCTGAATGGAAGAGGAAATATGAAGCTGATGTCTTGATTTTCTTTCCCTTCAGCCCAATCCAGAACAAACTTTTGCACAGAGACTGATTTCCCGATGCCAGCAACTCCTTTTGTCAGGACAGTTCTGATCTGCTCGTCTTGTTCAGCTGCTTCAAACAAATGTTTGCATTCAATCTTCTTCTCTAGTGACTGATGACGTCTGGAAGCAGCTTCAATCTGTCTGATCTCATGTTCAGTGTTGACCTGTTCACTCGCACCCTGAGTGATGTAGAGATCTGTGTAGATCTTATTCAGAAGTGTGGAGTCTCCTTGCTGAGCAATTCCTTCAAACACACTTTGATATTTCTTCTTCATGCTACATTTTAACTGGTTAATGAAGAACAGCTCGCCTAAACACAGAAGCAAAGAAACAGATAGGTTTAGTCTTGACTTTTCCAGCTATATTTGTAAGTGACAAACTGACGGTCATGAGTCTCTTACCCTGGAGAGTATCAGCAACTTCATCTTGCTTCATATCTCTCAGGAAGAAGAGTGTGAGATCAAGAGCTGCTTCAGTGATTCTGCATCTGTTGTCATTAAAGTTCTTTACAAAGTCTTGTCTGTTTTCTTCTTGTAAGATCTTCTTAAACTTCTTAAGTTCATTCTTCAGAAATCTGTCAATTTTATTCTCAAGATTCTATGATGGAAGAAATTAGATGAATTACATTTAACCAAAAACGTTTATTTACACACATTTCTACAACCACAGCCTACTCTCTGAGACAAGCAGGCACAGTTTGAGCAGTTTGAGGTTGAGCTCTCTTTTATACTCCATGCCCCAACCCTTTGGATCAAACCAACTCAAGGAAAACAATAACAAACAGTATGCCAAAGTAACTCCGCCGGTCCTACACCACCCAACCCGTTCCGAGCTGGGATCGAGCTGGCGACCTTCCGCATGGGAGTCGGTTGCTCTAACAAGGAGGCTAAAGACCATAGTCTATAGCGTTCATCGCTAGAGCACCTTTACAAGTCAGAGGTGTGAGGTATACCTGCACAGCACTTACTAACTGGCCTCTGTTACACTCACCACCTAAAACTCACTCCCATCCGGGTCATGACACCAATGTAACCCCGCCAGTCCTATGCCACCCAACCAACTACGAGCTGAAATCGAACCGGCAACCTTCCGTATAGAAGTTGGTTGCTCTATCAAGGAGGCTAAAGTCCATGGGCTCTGGCGTCTGCCGCTAGAGCACCTTTAGTGGTCAGAGGAGTGAAGTTTACCTGCACAGCACTCACTAGCTGGCCTCCGTTACACTAGCACTGTGTGTCTCTTACTGAAGGATCAAGGTATGTTGCGAAGTGTGTTTCACACCAACTGACATGGAATGCTGAATCTCCACTAAAAGTACTATAGGAAAATAAATTGTGCATATTTTGAGAGTTCACCCTTAGCTGATGATTGGTGTTAAAGCTTGTTTGGTATGCTCTCCTGGACGAAAGCTCTGAGCTTAAAAGATCCTTGTGCCTGGGGCTCCCTCCCGATAGAAGGGTGAGAAGGAAGTTTAAGCTCTGGTAGATCTCAAGAACCCCCCACTCCCCTCCCCTCCCCTTATGAATGGCAAATTATGAATAGATGTGGAAATATGCGATGGACTCATCTATAGTGCCAATTTGGTTTGGTCAATTCACCTATGTCTCATGTCTTTGGACTGTGGCTGGAACCCGGGGAAAACCCACAAAAGCACAAGAAGAACATGTAAACTCCACACAGAAACGTCAACTGGCCTGGTAAGCCAGTCAAACCAGTGACATTCTTGCTGTGAGGCAACAGTGTTAACCATTGGGCTGCCATTCCACCCTGTCTAGAAAAGGAGTAGGAGTAGCGGTGGAAGGGGAGTTTTTTCAAAATAAAGACATTGAGGTAAGAATTTCTGGTTATTTACGGTGAGTTAGTAATAGACTGATTAGTGGATATTGTATAAGCTAATGCTAGATATATATCATATTTCAATCAGTCAGTGAAAATCTTAAATCTTAAATGCGGCAATTAACAATAGCATGACAGTTCACCGAAAGTGCTAGAATTAGCTTACTGAAAATTAAAGTCCTGTGCATATAACCCATGGTGAGCACTGCAGATTGCGCCACTAATGGCAGAGTTGCGGGCTGGGATCTGGTGAAATTCGCCATGGGAAAGTAAAAGTGAGGTGTACTGGCATTATTAGCAGAGGCAGGCAAAAAAAATAAGAAGGGGAAATGACAGCCTGATCTCACGAGAGAACGTAAGTATTTTACGTTTTGCCAGTTTAGTGGCTAATTCGTACGAATTTGTACGAGTTCAGTCGTACGAAATGGTACGATTTTAAAAAGGAGGCGTGGCACCTGACCCCACCCCTAAAACCAACCGTCATTGGGGGATAAGCAAATCGTACTAAATTGTACGAATTAGATCGTACAAATTCATACGAATTAGCCACTAAATGAAAAAGTTACGAATTGCCGTGAGATTGTGTTGGGAATGACGGACTTCAGGGCTGGAGGAAGGGGCTGTGGGTCAAGGGTAGGGGAGAGGAGTTGGGATAATAAGAAGCCTGATGGTGCAGTTCCACTGGCATGTTGTGGGTATATAAGTATTTAATAACAAAGACGGCTCGGCTTAAACAAAGGTAAATTTGGGCAGTCCATGAAAATCTAAAAGACGTCTTAGAAAAGTTAAAAACTAGTACAGTCATACAAAAAAAACACAGGAATATGATGTAGGTGACACGTGTAAAGTTTGTGTAATCCGTATATTTCCTTTAGATCAGTGGTGTCAAACTCAATTCCTGGAGGGCCAAAGCCTTGCACAGTTTAGTTCCAACCCTGCTCCAACACACTGACCTGTAGGTTTCAACAAGCCTAAATGACTCAATTAGTTTGATCAGGTGTGTTTAATTAGGGTTGCAACTAAACTGTGCAGAGCTGCAACCCTTTTGGAACTGAGTTTGACACCTGTGCTTTAGATGATCGATAGACATCTATTTGAATTTTGCAACCCAAATTTATCCTTATTTTAGTGGGATATGAAAATGTGTTACAAAAGCAGGATTTTTTTCACTCCTCATTTGGTCTGTTATAATATAAATATTAAATATGAATCAAAATGAGTTTTTCCCACCTGGAAGATCCACACAAGATTGTCTGTGAAACTCTTGTGCCTCCTGTGAGTCCTGTGTCTTGGTTCTGGTAACTCATATTCAACACTGTTAACAAATAAAACTACTGTAACAATACATTTTGAGGCAAACAATACAGATATATCTTGAAAACTTGAAAATAATAAATGTTTTACATGATGAGAAGACGGTCAGGAAATTTGCTGTGTTATGGATTAGATTTAGCTGAGAACCCCCCCACAAAAGTCATAGAGTCATTGATTGATTAATTCAAACAACTGATTCATCCAGGAATGGCTCTCCTTGCTGAAATGTTGTTTCACATTTTCAATACAGTGCATATTTGACCAATAATATAAAACACAAAATACCTTTTGGCAGATGATGGTTCTTTCCCCGTGAGGGTTGGTGGATGATTTTTTGACCAGTTACTCTTCAGAGACACAGAGCTAGACACATATGATCCTGAATCTACACTGGTGACACAAAGAGACCAGAGGGAAAGCAGTGTCACAAACTGATCAACAAGATTAACATCTTGCATTGCATACATTTGTCAAGTTATCAGGTTTAGAAGAGGGTGCTTTGGGGTTTAGATCTATTGCTAATCTGTTTTGCTCACTCTCCACTGACTGGTCTGCAGGATACTTTTACATCTCTTGGACAGCAGCATGCCAGCAGCCAGAGGAGCGTTGCAGATACTAGAGATGTGGACGAGTAGATAGATTCCACGGCAGGGCTCCCAGTATATCAAAAGGGCACTACTATTCAGGACCTTTCAGCTGGTTGAGAACCAAAAAGTAGTGTGTGTCGAAAACGGAACCCTATTTTTTTCACTTACTTTCTTTCCTCTCTCTATTTCCTGTCTCTCCATATGCTTCTGTCTCCTTTCTCTATTGCCCCTGTGCTTTCCCCAGGTCAGTGGATCCACCAAGGTTCCAGCCCTTTCCCGAAGTAAGCACAGTTCTGGGGTGCTACCCGTCTTTTAAGTGGTAATGGGGTTATTTCAAAAGTGGATGGTGGCCAAGATATGTGGGAATGGAGCAAAGCTGGGGGCATCACTGTTAACAAGCATCACCCATTTGCCCACCAGTCTCGAATCTCAGAATAAAAGGAGGAGTGACAACTTAGGAAGACGAGAGAGGACCAGGCCTGAAGTTTATGTTTGGATTCCTTTCAGTTTGACAGTAGCCGGTTGTAAGTGGCTGCATGTTTTGTGTTAAAACTATGTATATTGAAAATGTGTTGAAAGTGTAGTCAAATTTATGAAGAACCTTAAAACTTATTTGACTCACTAAAACTTTGACTCATTCCACTCAAACTGAATGAACCTAAATCAATTCACTTCTTACAGATGTTAATCATTAACCCAAAGCTCACTTACATGAATCATAACATATAAAACATTCAACTCATCGATAATGAAAATAAAAATTAGAAACGTTTTCTGATGACTTGAAGAATTTATATACAAGAAACCCTGAAGCTGGTGAGGTGCATGGAAAGAGACATGTTTTTAGACAGACCAGGGGTGAAAAACAGAAATTGGACAATTCAATTCTTCACTTGAGCTGGGTAAAATGATCCTTCTCACTATACATTTTCATTGTGTCACAACACAAAAGGGAATCCTCGGCAAGTGCAATTGACAAAGGAAAACCATAAACAAAGACTACACAATTCTGACATTACATTATTGGACATCAGACTGGGGGGAAACTGGGCTGGAAGCAAGCATGGGAAGGGTGTGGCTGGATACAGGGCTCAGCAACAAGGCTAAGAGCTGGTCTGGGACCAGATGGTTGGGTAGCTTGTGAAATGCAGATAGAGTTAGAATCTAGACTTGTATTGGCAGGGCAAGGATCATGAGAGGATCCTACAGTGCAAGGAGTCAGATTGGGACCAGTGGAGCAAGGAACCTGGATGGCAATGGCCATGGGCCATGTTTTGTGACTAAAGAAATGATTGGCAGGCACTCAGGGACTAAAGCCATCACTCCTCACCTGCCAGAAGTAGATCTTGGCAAAATACAATAATGTCCTCTGTGAATGTGGAGGGTTATGGTTAGGGCATTGGACTGATAAAACACATAAACCTAGATATATATACACACTAATAACAATCAACATAGGTGTACTAATGAGGGAACCAAGGCAGGAAACAGAACAAAGGAGGATGTCACAAGACACCCCTGATTCAACTGAATACAAAGGGGCAAAATTGGGTCAGGGAGCACAGTAGTAGAGGCAAAACAAGGCCAAGACAATACCACAACCTAACAGGAGTCCTGACAGGCACAGTCCATCAGTTAAATCATTAGTTGTCCAATAGTACAAACAATTTCAACAGTGCATGTAAAACACCAAAATACCTTTGGTGCTATGAAGAACTGGGTTGCACTGGTAACTGTTACGGTGCCAATCGTCTCAGTATGTATATTAACACTATTAATGTCCAATAACCATGAAAGAGAAAAACACAGACGTACTAAATTGTAGATGTTTACTCAAATTTGGATATATTAATCCTCAAATAACAATATTATTTAAATGAAACAAAAACATACATCAAAAGAGCGTAGGCCTGCGCAAAATAATAATGAAATAAAGGTTCACAATAGGATGTAAAGAATAATGCTGATTGCTTACAAATCAATAGTAAAGAAAACTATTATAAAAAGTCCTTTCTACACGTTCAGATACCAGGAGGTTGAATGAAGCTGGTCTTTTAGCTACAGTCTCAGGGCTGTTGGTGCACAATGATTCCTCCCGCGATTAGAAGGGCAGGAATTTCAGCCGGTACTGGATGTTGCTGAATAATTATGATACTGCTTCATACGACTCTTGCACATGTGTGGTTCTACAATGAACAAATTAACGTGATCAGTAATAATTTGAATCATCATATGATGGTCACCAGCAGCACTACAAATGTGCTGAGTCATAGCCATACAATATGCATGTAGATAATAGTAATGTGGGCAATTAAATACTCAAACATTACATCAACAATGCAGCAGTTGTACATCAATTAAACACAAGTAACTGACAATCATATTAATATAATATAATGTACTGTAGAGTGAAACTCACGTTTCTCATTTACGGACTTGCAAGGATCGTCACGAGCGAGACTTCGGCACCGTCTATAAGCGTTATTAAAAACCATCCGCTGTCAATCCAGATTATAATACACCCTTCTGCAGTTCACAAAGTGAAAGTGCTACAGAACGAGTCGATAATTTACTGTTTTACGCCGTTAAAGATGAGATTGTAGGACCTCTGCTTTCACATCGCCATTCCTGAACTGATTCACTTTCGTTTTTTATCAATCGGTTGACTTGAACTGAACTGAACTGATTCGCGAACGCTTGCTTGATTTGGTTGATTCCTAACTGAACTGATTCGCGGTGGCGCGACTCACTAAATATGCCACACCTTTTCTTCTAAATGAGAGATAAAATAATCTTCATACAACACCTATTTTAAATGTGCATAAACTGAACAATGGCTTTTTTTACATTTGGGCAGGTGATGGTGTTTCCCCACTGAACTCTGGTGGATCCTCTTTAGACCAGTCACTCTTCATACATGATCCTGATCTCACACTGAACACACAAACACACCAGAGAAATTAACTGTGGGACAAACTTCAGTCTCCTTTACAAGAGTTTATCAGACAAATATGAGTTTGTTCAGTTTAATTCAGCACAAACTAATAGTTGACTGAAGGTCTGTCTGATCAGGTCCGCTGAAACTGTTCTGCGGTTAATTCTGATGTTGTACAGGTCTTATAACTTGACACATTAAGTATATTCAGCTCTGGTAAATATGACACCAGACCAAGCTGTTTATAACCTACAATGATCTCAACACATTCAATAGTATCTGGATACAGCCTTGCATGAGCAAGCTGAGACTGCACTGAGTGGAAGTAGTGACGCCACTGTGAGGGGTCGGGTTAGCGGTGGCGTGATTATGTCATATGGAGAGGTGTGCGCATTAAAAGCATCGCATACACCTCGGAACACTCTCAAAACATTTCCTGAGGGTGTAAACTGAAGCTTTGTCCATCATTTGATCAGGCAATAGCAACACAAATAAGTGCATTGTTGTTGTTCTTTGTTCTTAAAAGAAAGTGTTGAAATAATGGTGTAAAAACAGAGTCAATACCTGTGTTTCTCTGAGAGAGAGTCCTTTACTCGCTCCTCTGCCATACTGCAGCTAAAACACCAATGCAGACATTAGCAGAGTTTTGAGGAAACAATCAGCCGCTGACCATCACCTGGAGAGGACAATATACTGAGATATCATTACACAGTTATGGGTTAAATCCAGTTTGTTTAAAGAACATCAGCATTTTGGAGTTTTTTTTCCTGTTTACAGGATGGTCTTTACCAAACACTAACAAGCGTAATGGTATAAGTATTAAACTTACATGCTGAAGTACAGACGCTCTTGTGCAGCAGGAACAGAATTTGAGCTTTTTGACTCTTCAGTTCACTAAAACACACCTGTGCGCTCCTACAGGTATATCCTGAAATGTTATTGGTTCCACCGAGTGGCGTTGACATTAATATTCATGGGATTCTCCCGACTGTGGGCGTGTTCTTGAGAGAACACACCACTAGAACAGACAATATTTGTGCAGTTTCTCTGAGCACAAGTTTTCAAGAAGATAACAAGGAATTTGAGATGAAATCTGAGAGGTCTCTGAACAATACTGAAAGAGATAGCTCACCCCAAAGTGAAAAAAGTCATAATATGCTCACCCTTCTTGAGTTCCAAACCGGTTTGACTGTCTTTCTTCTGCTAAACACAAAAAACCTTAGAAGAAAGCTTGACACCTTTTACCATTGAATTCTACATTATTTTTTTTTCTCCTACTATGAGAATTTAACAGAGATTTCCAAATTTGCCTTCAGACAAGAACGAATGTTTATTTGTAGCTTCAGGACAACTTTGAGGAAAGGTTTTAATACTGTCATGGTCAAAATGGCATATTGAGAATACAGCAGAAAGAATCTGAGGGGTGTTAATGGTATAGTTACTATGATATTATATAATAATATAGGATACTCTGTTTTTCCTCAGAGCTTGACTACTGTCAGATATTATATGCTAATGCCATTTTAGGAAGCTCCAGCTAGTACAACATAATGTAGTGAGAATAACCCTTCAGTGTCCATATGGTGAATTATTAATAGTTTGCACTCTGAGCTTAACACTAGATCCTCCAGGTGTTACTTACAATAGAGGAAAACATGAGACAGTGTTAGAGGTGTCTTATCTGGGCTAAAGACAAAAGGACCAATAGGCCAAAGTCCTCATCAAATGAAAGTAGAATTTGGCATTTATTTGGAAATCAAGGTCTGGAAGGAGAAAGTAGTAGCGCAGAATTAAAGTTTCGTATGGTCTAGTGTTAAGTTTCCACAGTCAGTGATGGTTTGGGCAGCATCCATACCCCTCACATTGGCGTCAGCAGCTCCACTGAGTGCATTGTGTCTGAGACTGTGTGTGTCAGGTGCATATGCTAGTCTGCAGTCAGATACTATTGACTTCATGGCTCCCTCTGCTGACAGATTCATGGAGATGCTGATTTGAATATCCAGCAGGACTTGACATCTGCCCACACTACCAAATGTGCTAACGCCTGCTTTAAGAACCATGATATCCCATCTAAATCATAAAATACTTCCTCATTTGCTAAGTATTTGTCTCTCCTATGTAGGGTGAACAAACCCTTAATACATTTATACAAACAAAACTATTTTAAAACGTTCTGTTCCTCGAGCATCCGCCTGTTGTTTGTAGCTTTAGCCTGCTAGCGCCGCTGGTCAGCTAAAGCTACTGACCTCTTTCATTCACTCATTTTTTGACTTACTGGCCTTGCTCTTCACCCTGTACAATGTCGCTTGTGTGTCTGCCCTTGAGTGCAGGAGAAGCATCAATGGAGACGTTAGAGCTGGAGCTGGAAGCAGTGGAGTCCCAGATTCGCACCCTCGAGGTGAGGCGGACGCAGAAGCAGGAACGACGAGCTCTGCTTGTTGTGCCTAACGCTAAGGCCACCTCAATATCTAAGGTAAGCGGAAGATACAACCACGTCACTCCCTCTACCTCAACCCCACGTGTTTCTCTGTCCAGGTCCAGCGCACCGGGGACGCAGCTCGGCCAGGCGTCATTCATGCCGACACCCGGCTGCCACGGCGCCTGAGTGCAGCCGCGTAAGGTGCTTACCAGGTCCCGGGGCAAGACGTCTGCTCCTCCCGTGTTCGAGATCTCCACGGGGAACCGCTTCTCCCCTCTCCGCGAGACGGGTCCCGATGTGCCCATCATCGGTGACTTGATCGTTTGCCACGTCCGCGCCGCCTCCTCCAAAGGTAACAAAGTATGTACTTTCTGCTTTCCTGGAGCCTGAGTTAAGAATATTTCTACACAGATTATAACAATCCTGGGCGCTGCCAAGAGCCCTGGTGCCATCGTCCTCCATGTGGAGATGAATGACTGTGGACTCCGGCAGTCGGAGATCTTGAAGAAGGACTTCAGGAGCCTGATCAAGATGGTTCGACGCACCTTTTTTGGGAGCGTCCTACGCTTTTCCGTGCTGACGACCTGCACCCCAGTCGAGCTGGAGCTGAACTCCTGTCAGACAACATCTTCAGATTACTTCGCTCCATCTGACTAACAGGTAAAAATCCACAAAGCTCACATTATAACCACATAGACTCTTGTTCGTCCCAATTAAACATCAGTAATGCATATCTGGCTAACCCCATAGAGACAGTGTCTGTTCCTCGTATTATTAGATCAAGAAACAAACATACTGTGTCAATAACCAATGATTTACTCTTAGCTGCTGACCAAGGGTGCATCTCGCTATTAGTTCTACTCGATCTTAGTGCGGCATTTGACACCATTGACCAAAGTATCCTCATGAATCGCTTAAAGTCTACAGGTGTCCAGGGACAGGCTCTACAATGGTTTAAGTCATACTTAACTGACCGTTACCAGTTTGTGAATATTAATGGACAGCCTTCACAAGTCAGCCCAGTGCAGTATGGGGTGCATCAAGGATCAGTTTTAGGCCCTTTGCTGTTTACAATTTACATGCTACCACTGGGAGACATTATTAGAAGACATGGGATCAGCTTTCACTGCTATGCAGATGATACTCAACTATATATTTCAACTAATCCTGATGAGACGTCTGAACTGTCTAAGCTACCTGAGTGTATTAAAGACATTAAAGACTGGATGACCAACAATTTTCTTCTCTTAAACTCCGACTAAACAGGATTATTACTTATTGGGCCTAAATCCTGTACACAGCAGATCTCACAACTCAATCTACAATTAGAGAGATACAAAGTTAGCATTAGCGCTACTATAAAAGATTTGGGTGTCATATTAGACAGCAATCTAACTTTTGAAAACCATATATCCCATGTCACAAAAACTGCCTTCTTTCATCTGAGAAATATCGCTAAATTACAAAGTATGCTATCCATCTCAGATGCAGAAAAGCTAGTCCATGCTTTTATGAGCTCTAGGCTGGATTACTGTAATGCTCTATTTGCTGGCTGCCCAGCATCCTCTATTAACAAACTTCAATTAGTACAAAATGCAGCAGCCAGAATTCTGACCAGATCTAGAAAATATGATCATATCACCCCAATTTTATCCTCCTTACACTGGCTGCCTGTTAAATTTCGTATTGAATTTAAAATATTACTTCTAACCTATAAAGCTCTAAATAATCGAGCTCCTGTTTGTCTAACCAACCTTCTGTCTCGCTACAATCCAACTCGCTCTTTAAGATCTCAAAACTCAGGGCTTCTGGTAGTACCTCGAATAGCAAAGTCGAGTAAAGGAGGTCGAGCCTTCTCCTTTATGGCTCCTACACTCTGGAATAGCCTTCCTGATAACGTCCGAGGCTCAGACACACTCTCTCAGTTCAACACTAGATTAAAGACCTATCTGTTTAGTAAAGCATACACTCAGTGCATCACTTAGCGGGTTTCCACACAAGTTTCTGCATCTTGTTTATACACACTATGAACAGCAGCTACACTAATTATTCTCTTTATTCTCCATTTCCACCTGGGTGTAACCACAGGGGGGAGTGACAGAGACAAGTGGAGGTAAGATCCACAATGCAGGTTTAGTCAGCGTCAGGCAAGCAATGATCAAACAGGTACAAACGGGTATATTCAGGCAGTCCAGAATTGTAGTTGTATAAACAGGCAATAGGTCTAAAGGCAGGCGGCTAAACAGGAGGACAAAGGTAAACAAGGCTAGGGTCTAACACGGAGAAATAAGAGAGGGAGAAACGCGTTGTAATGTTACTGAAACAGCTAAAAAGACTCGGCCAACTGGATGAGTAAATGAGTGTCTTATGTAGGGTGTGTAATCAGTCTATGACAAGGCTCAGCTGGTGAGAGTGTAATCAATCTTCATGAGTGAGCATGTGAGTGTGACCGGAAAGCATGTATGTCTATGTAGTCCAAAGGAAGGCGGAAGTGTAGTCGATGGTATTCGTGTGAGAACCAGCGATCTCTGGCGAACGATCGCTGGTTATGTGACATAGCCCCCCCTCTAGAGTGGATTCCAGACACTCCACTACTGTTCAGGCGAGAGGCGGAGCAGAGGCGGAACAGGGGGAGGGATGGAGGGCCAGAACCATGCACCTGGGGTGTACCTGGGGCGTGGAGCTGCGGAAGGCCTGGAGAGTGGAGCTGCAGAGGGCCTGGAGCATGGAGCTGCGGAAGGCCTGGAGAGTGCAGCTGTGGGGAGCCTGGAGCGTGGAGCGAGGCAAGGCGAGGAGCCAGGCTGGGACAGGCAATGCTTGGAGCTGTGGCCGTTCGGGAAGCTTAGGAGGCGGCGGCCCTTCGGGAAGCTCAGGCGGCAGCGACTCTGGCAGCAGCGTCGATTCTGGCTGCGGCATCGACTCTGGCTGTGGCGCTGGCTGCGGCATCGACTCTGGCTGCGGCGCTGGCTGCGGCGTCGACTCTGGCTGTGGCGCTGGCTGCGGCATCGACTCTGGCTGCGGCGCTGGCTGCGGCGTCGACTCTGGCTGAGGCGCTGGCTGCGGCGTTGACTCTGGCTGCGTCTCTGGCTGCGGCGTCAACTCTGGCTGCGGCGTTGACTCTAGCTACGGTGCTGGCTACGGCATCGACTCTTGCAATGGCGCTGGCTGCGGCATCGACTCTGGCTGCGGCGCTGGCTGCGGCATTGACTCTAGCTACGACGTCGACTCTGGCTCTGTCGCTGACTGCGGCGTCGACTCTGGCTGCAGCGCTGGTAGCTCTGGCAGTGGCAGCTCTGGCGGTGGCAGCAGTGGCGGTGGCAGCTCTGACGGTGGCAGCTCTGGCGGTGGCAGTTCTGGTGGTGGCAGCAGTGGCTCTGGCGTTGGCAGCGGTTCTGGCAGTTGCTCTGGCAGTGGCAGTGACTCTGGCAGTTCTGGAGGATCTGGCAACACTGGAGGATCTGGCAGTACTGGAGTCTCTGGCAGCTCTGGAGTCTCTGCCAGCACTGGAGGATCTGGCAGCACTGGAGGGTCTGGCAACACTGGAGGATCTGGCAGTACTGGAGTCTCTGGCA